ATGGTGGCTCACAACCATCTGTAATGATATCTGATACCCTCTTGTGGGGTATCTGAAGACAGCTACAGTGTACTCACATATAATAAATAAATAAAAATTAAAAAAAAAATCAGAGAAACTATTACGGGGCCATGTTTTTGTTTTACTCCCAGGTGTGGAGATACGGGGCTGCTCTATAGCAGCTGACTGTGATTTGCCTCGCTTCTAGCAAAAGCATGGTTTTTGCCAGCTGCAGATAGTTTCTGTGATTGTGTTATGTTTGGAATTCTGGGAAATTCTCAGAGGGTATATAAATTTGATGGGCCCTGCGCAGTGGGGTGGGTGATGGTTGGTCATTGGTGGGGAGGAGAACGGTTACAGTTTGTTAGTAGCCAAAATAGATTCGACTCAAGATCTCTATCTCTCTCCCCTCTATCCTTCTTTCTCTCCTATCTAGTGATAGGGGTTGAAACTGGGGGATAAAGGGTGGGAAAAGAAGAACCCACAGAGTAGCAAAGGCCGGCTACACACACCTACCTCTGATTCACACCTTGGCTCAGCCTGTCTTATGTGCATTCTGATCAGCTGAAGCTTCCAGTTGGAGATCTGGGGTGGACAACTCCTACAGTTGTCTGTGTCTGTTCATTGATTCAGACCCTTTTATGTACAGTGTTTAGTTTAATTTTCCCAAAGCAGATCTTGAGGCAATGACACAAGGGTGTGTGTGTGGTTAGTGTAAGAGGTGAAGGCAGGAAGCACCTGCAGAGGAGTAGCAAGAAGACCAAGGAAAACAGCTAATAAAGGAGGTGCCATCAGTCACCACTGTGGGTAACTGCAACCTGGGGATTCTGGGAAGTGATTAGAAACACCAGCCTTATATTGTTCCAGCTCCCAAGAGCAAGGGGGCCTAAGAAACACATCTTCACATTCCCACGGACCATACATTGAGAGCTGTTTGGGGTACTAATGCCTTTGTCTGCCCTAAATGTGGATGAGCCCTTCCTTATGACTAAATAGAGCCTATAGCGCTCTCAGTGGTTGGCAGTTTGAAGTGGACAGCATGCCCAGAAATGATGGTGTAAAGACTGGCCTCAAACTGCACAGACTCTAAAAGGCCTGTCTCTACCATCTAGTGCCACATCTCCCATCCCCAGGTTGCTCCTCACTTAGGGCTCTGGTATGTACCCCACGAGGATGTCTTCATCTTCTCTGCTGTCCCCTTTCTAAGCCCCCTCTGCTTTCTTTCCAGCTGTTAACAACTTACAAACACCTGCTTTTAAATGTCCCGCAGTCTAAGTCAAGGCAATCTTTGTGCTCTCTCTGAATTCTGAAGCCATCTGTTCCCAGATGCCACTGCCTTGTTATCTGCCACCTCAGTCTCCTGCCACTTCTTCCTCCAAATTGTTTTTGAAACAATTTCGTTTTTTGTTTGTTTCTAGGCAGGGTTTCTCTGTGTAACAGTCCTGGGAGTCCTGGAACTCACTTTGTAGACTAGACTAGCCTGTAACACGCAGAGATCTGTCTGCCTCTTCTTCCCCCTCGACCCCAGTATTGGGATTAAAGGCCCCCAGTGAAACTTTTTTTTCTTCTTTGAGTCAGGGTTTCTTGTAGCCCAGACTAGTCTCAAACTTGCTACATAGCCAAGGATGACTTTGAATTTCTGATTCTCTTATTCTCTCCTCCCAAATGCTGGGATTACAGACACACCACCTTGCCCAGTTTACCTGTGATAAGGAGCGAGCTCAGAACTTCTTGCATGCTAGACAAGTAGTCTACCAATTGAACTATACCTCCAGGCATCAAAGTTGCTTTTGAAAAGTCACCATGTGTATTTGTCAACATTCTCCAGGGGAACAAAACCAACAGAATGAATACAAACTACAGGGGTTTAGACGACAGGAAGACTGTTTGCACTGGCTGCTCTTTCAGAGGACCTGAGTGTGGTTCCCAGTCCCCACATGGTGGCTGAACTGTGGGGTCTGAGACCTTCTACTCACCTCTGCAGGCAGTAGGCATGGACACGGCACACACACACATACATCTTAAAATGTAATGGATAAAAGGGACTTTAATAGACCGGCTTACATCATACAGTCTGAGTGCTACCACTATGGCTCTCTTCACACTGGCTGAGAATCCAGTGGTGACTTGGTCCTGGAGTCTGGATGGCTCAGGAGCCACAATCTGGCACTGAGGGCCTGAAGGATTCCTGGAGAAACCACTAGTCTTCCATCCATATTGGAATCCCAAAAAGCTGAGTTCTGATATCAGTGAAGGAATGAAGTGGCAATGATAGCAGTGGTGGCAGTGGTGGCAGTGGTAGCAGTGGTGGCAGTGGAAGCAATAGTAGCAGTGGTGGCAGTGGTGACAGTGGTAGCAGTGATGGCAGTGGCAGCAATGGTGGCAGTGGTGGCAGTGATGGCAGTGGTGACAATAGTGGCAGTGGTAGCAGTGATGGCAATAGTACCAGTGGTGGCAATAGTGATAGTGGTGGCAGTGGTAGCAGTGGTGGCAGTGGTGGCAGTGGTGGCAGTGGTGGTAGTGGTGGCAATATGCTGTTCTGGCTCTGCTTCCCCACCATTCACTGCATGATTGACCCAAGATAGCAACCAGTAGACATAAGAGGGGAATCTGGGTGGGAATTGTTGTATCGGAAGAGACCTCAGGCAGTGGTGGGTGAGCTTGACAAGAACAGACCCTAGGGTGACAGCCTCAGTAGACAGCTCATTTAATTGGGAGAACAGAGGCTACTTGACCTTTGTTGGTGTGTGTAGGGGCTTTTGGGGTGAGTGTACATCATTGGCCAGGGCCAGGGCACTGGGGACGTTTCATAAGGGGGGATTTCCAGTTGTTGCTAGGCATGACCTTATAAGGAGAGGACGTTTAACCTGGCTACCAAGGCAAATGTGGGGGTGCAGGGCTGGGGAGGGACAATCCTACTTCTGTCGAGATTTGGGGGGGGGGCTTGGCATACCTTGAACCCTCTCTTGCTCTGGGCTGACTCCCCACCTCCCTATCACCCAATTCCTTGGTTCACCGGCCCCACAGCCATGGTGGCAGTGGTAGTCATAGAAGCAGCAGCAACAGTATAAGGAACTTACTAGCAAGACATGAAGATAAGAAGGCAAAACCAAATTCTCTTCTGTCAGACCTCCTTTGATCTGGGCAGCCACTAGAAAGAACGTCCACATTAGAATGTGCTTTCTCACAGTGTGTCCAGCCGTTTATTTCTTAGTTCATCCACTTGCAGTCAAGGCCCACCATGGTGGCATACACCTTTAATCCCAGCACTCGGGAGGCTGAGGCTGGCAGATCTCTAAGTTCTGCAGCCTGAGTTCCAGGGCAGGCAGAGCTACACAGAGAAACCCAATCTTGGAAAACAAAAACAACAAAAAACAAAACCAAACACCCAGGTGTGGAACTGTAGAGAAGACTGAGCAGGTAAAGCGTGGGTCCTGTAAGCAGCGGAACTGGAGATAAGAACCTTTAGAACCCACATAAAAGCCGGGTAGGTATGCAGCTTGCACGAAATCCCAGAGTGCATGAGGCATGGAACCCAGACTAGGCAGGCGATAAGCTCCAGATTTAGCCAGTGACTTTGTTTTAATATATATGGGGGAGTGGAGGCTGGTGACTTGGCTCAGAGGGTAAAAGTACCTGCCACTATTGGACAACCCAAGCTGGATTCCAGAGAACCACTAAGTAGAAAAAGGGAACCCATTCCCAAAAGTTGTCCTTTGACCTCTACACCCATGACATGTGTTAAGTTTCAAACCTAGGACAAAAGACTAAAGTATCTAGGTCACATATTAAAGCTGACCTGGGGCCGGGCGGTGGTGGCACACGCCTTTAATCCCAGCACTTGGGAGGCAGAGGCAGGTGGATTTCTGAGTTAGAGGCCAGCCTGGTCTACAGAGTGATTTCCAGGACAGCCAGGACTATACAGAGAAACCCTGTCTCGAAAAACCAAAATAAATAAATAAATAAATAAATAAATAAATAAATAAATAAATCTGACCTGGATGCAAGGTTTCCCAGCATCCCTTAGTCCCTGCCTGTTACACGGTATGGCTGGCATGTCTGCCTTCTAGCAATCCAGGGCTATGCAGGGACACACTGTCTCAAAAAAAAAAAAAAAAAAAAGTTTTAGAAACCATGTTGACTGTTCATCTGAGGTCTCAGATTCCTAGAGTTAATTTTGACCCATGTCCTCAAATTAAGTACTGCTGACTCTGTAACCATCTTCTGTTGCCTACAGGACATAGGTAGGACTGAGTTAGCAATCTCCTTGGCCATCAGATAGGGATTCTTGGCACCATAAAGACTGAAAAGTAGGACTTTGTGCCATTGAGGTGTTTTGGCTAAGCCAGATCTTGGCACTACATTGTGTATACATACCTGAGCAAGTATATTCAGGCCCACATTGATGTTCTCTGACTTACAGACTGGACATCTAGAGCCCCAGGCTTCTTTATATTACTTGTGCCTACATGTATATACCAGGTTTTCATGCAATATGCCAGGGTTAGGCCCATTCTCCGAAAGAGAGGAGGGGCTACTGTTCTTCCAGGATGTACTTTTGTGGTGAAACAAGGGGACTTTCCTGAGATACTCCCTGTCAGACACACTCCCTTTTGACCTTCTGATCAGGTGCCAGAGAAAGAATAAGGTCATGGGGTGTTGAATAGCCTAGACCTTGCCAGGAGTCACCTTGATGTCCTACACTACGGACATAGGACGGTTTAGAAAAATGTCAAATGGCCAATCCTGACTGGGCTCCTGTGACTTTTGCCATCTATGTGCGCAGGCTCCCATACCGATCAGATAGGTTTGAACTTGTCACCTCCTAGGCCACCACCTCCAGGCAGCCCTCCCTGGTACTCAACCTGCTCCGCCCCCAGACTTGGGGGGGGGGGAAGCGCTAGGGGTCAAGGGTCACCAGGCGGGCCAGGTCCCGGAAGCGGAAGCAAAGTGCACTTCCGGCGCGCAGCAGGCGGCCATGTTGGAGCAGCGGAGGCGGCGCAGAGGTGCGTCCTGGGTCCCCGCGGCGGCGCCGGTAGGTTGGAGCCGCGGGCCTAGCGGGGCTGCGGAGTGGCGGCCCATGAGGCCACAGGGCGGCAGGGCGAAGGGACTGGGTGGCCGACCCTTCCCGGATCCTCGTTTTCCCAGGGCTTGCCTGAGACACCCCACCCCCACCCAGGACCCCACCCTGGGGCTGTGAGGATCCTGTCGGGCTACCACAGTCCACCTTACACATTTCGCCACCGCCGTGACCCCGACTCCCTGTCGTCGTTCGGGCCCTGGGGACGCGGTCTCCCCACCTGAGGGTCCCGATCTGCCCCTGATCCCAGTCTGCCTGATTAGCCCCCAGTCTTCTGTCAACTTCCTGTGCTGGCCCCAAAGGAATGTGTGAAGGCAAGTCGGCCTGGCTGCAGCCTCTGTTTACAAAGCTTCTTGAAAGCCAAGAGCACCCTCCCAAGGGCTCAGGATGACCTAGGCGAAGAGCTTGGTCCCGGCCTCCCAATATAAGCGCCGGAGGTTTGGGGTGGGAGGTAGGTCGTCCCCCTCTGTCCTACAGTTCACAGCCCACCCCTTCAAAAATTAAATAAATAAATAAATAAATAAATGAACTAAAGTCATGTGCAAGGATTGTACTTGGAGAGCATTCTCTGGGGAGGGGAAGTGCCTCAGACACCTGAGGATCCAAGAATGTTTCCCAACAAAGAGCCCTAGGGCACTTTCTCTGGGGATTCTGAAGACTGTATATCTGCTCCATTAGAGCTGTGCAAAGCGGCAGCACAGACGGGATTCTAGTCTCCCGGGACCTGTCTCACCCCAGCTGATCTTTTTAATGCTCCAGTGCAGCCGGGGAGTTTACTTCTGGCCTCAAAAAGGACTCAGACGCTGCGTGGGGGTGCTGGATGTAACTCCTGATTGGTGGTCATCGCTTCTTTAAGGAAGCATAGGGCGAATTGAATGACCCCACACAGCTGCATCTGCTAATCTCAGGTCTGTTGCCTTTTAAGCTCTGGTTAGGACCATGCAGACCTTTAATGGCTGCTTGATCTACCTTCCTGGTTGGAACCTTTATCTGTCATTTGTCTTCAAACCTTGGTCTCCTTGGTCTAGTTGCCTGTCTCCTGCTTGACTTAGAGATGTTTGCAACTGTACTTTTTTTTGTGTGTGTGGGGGGGGAAGGTTTGTGTCTTATATTGGGTTTGAACTCCAAGACTAGAGCTAGGAATCAGGCCATTGAGTATCCTGTCTACTGACTCTGGTAAGCAGGAGATCAACCACCCCCTGCACTGAAACGTTGGCAGCTGGATTTAGAGGTGGGGTGAACATGAGGTATGAGTCTGGGTCTTTGGGCCTGTGTTCAAAGGCCTTAGTCTGTTTTCCTCAGCTCCAGCCCATCCTTCACCCATAGTTCCTTACACTCCTTTACTTGATAGCCTTTGCAAGAGCTGTTACCCTTTTTGCTCCATTTGTACCTGCTCCTTTTATTTTTGCCACTCAGCCAGATAGGTAGATGTTACTGCTTCCAGGAGTCCTTCCCTAACCTATTAGAAGCTGACTTGGATAGCACCACATACTCCCAAGAACCTTTAATGATAGCTGTGTCTTCACTTCTGGACTGGGCTCTTTGAGGGTTGAGGTATTTGCTTATATTCCTGGGACTGAGTCTAGATACTTAGGACATCAAGAAAGAAAAAACCAAAAACAAAACAGGCATGGTAGTATACACTGCTTGGGAGGCCAAGCAGCAGATGACTTGCACCACCCATTCAAGGCTCTTGACATATGCTTGTAATCCTAACAGTTGGGAGGCTGCAGTAGGAGGAGTCTGAATTTGAGGCCAGTTTGGACTACACAGCAAGCTCCAGAACAGCCAGGACTGTGTAGTGAGACCCTGTGTCCCAAACAGCCAAGTTTGGATGATAGCACTTGCCTATAATCCCAGCACCTGAGAGATAGGGACAGAGGGGTTAGGGTTCAAGGCTGGCCTCAGCTGTATATGGAGTTGGAGACCAGCCTAGCCTATGAGGCACCTTGTCTTAAAACAAGAAAAGAAAAATGCCATTGAATTAAGACGAACTAGATCTAAGTCTCCTCAGAAGCCCGGTGGTAGGGTAGGTGCTCTGAGATGCTTCTGAACATGTATCCCAAAGACATGTACCAACATGGTAGAGGAGATGACGAGACCCTGGAGAGATCTGTTCTGTCTAGGCCCTTCTGTCACAGAGAGATGGAGCCTGGCTGGAGCCGCCAGCCTTCTTTAGCTCTGTATCTTGGTACCGTTCTCATCAACTCTTTTCTTCTTGCTTTGGAGGTGCCAAGTGCTGGTTTGTGGATACCCAGGCAGACCTGCAGTGCCCAATGCCATGAGCATGGTAGTACAGCATGTGGAGGAGAAAGCTGTGCACTCGTGGTCACGCATCTCCACGGCAGGAAAGAAAGCCCTGGAAGAGGCCCTCCTTGTGTTTAATCCCATGAGTCAGGACCTCAGTGCCACAGAGGCCCAGCTCGTGGCCTTCCTCCAGGGTCTGCGAGATGATGGCTTCCAACCGACCATTCTTCGAAGTGGGGATGTCTATGGTTATAGTTCATGCACAGCCAGCCCCCCTAGCCAGACAAAGCTACAAGCTCGTACCATCAACCCACCTGCCACATCACTTCCTGCTAGTGCTCCTCAGACTGCTGTATCAGTCCCTGCAGGCCAGGCTACCATGCTTCCTGTGCCACTGTCTGGCAGGCTGGCTAAAGGGTCCACACCAGCCCTTGCCAAGCATGCTACCACTAACCTGCTGCTGAGCTCCCTGAAGCAGTCAAATGCCAGCAACACCAGTGGTACAACAGTAGGCTTCCCTGCCCACCTCTATCCAGGCGTCTACCCTGCCATGCGGCTCTCTGTTGTCCTTGAAGCACTGGTCCCACTCAAGACTCCCTACTTGGATGTTAAGCACAGAACACAGTCCTTGCAGCTGTCACTTGCAAAATCTCCCCTGAAACCGAGGAAAGGTTCAGGGAACCCACAGTCCAAAGCACCCCGAAGAATCACAAGCAAGGGCCTCAAATATCTGACTAGCAAAGGCCCTGGGGCTGGTCTCCATCGAGGTGCTGGAACCCAGAGCAATGCCTCCCGAATGAAAGGGCGCTCTGCTTTGGGCACCAAAGCAGTCCGGACCAAGGCATCTCGAACCCAGACTAAAGCTGCTCGTGCCCATGCCAGTGTGGCTCGAACCCAGACCAAGACAGTAAGGGTCAAGGCCAAAGCAAAAGGCTCCAAGCCCACGGCAGCCAGAGCCAAAGCCAAGGCCACTGTGGTGAGGGACAAGGCTAAAGACAAGGTAGTCCAGGCCAAGGCCAAAGCAGCTCAGCCCAAGCACAGGGGAAGGCCAAAGGGATCTGTTCATACCAGAACTGGAAGGGCAAGCTTAAAAAACTGCTCTGAGACTGTGGGGCAGAAGAGGAAGAAGGCCGAGGAGACCAAGGGTCTTCCTCCTAAGAAGAGAGCACGGCGTGCACTCCGATCTCCTAAGGTGTGGCTGGGGCCTGGAACAGCAAAACCTCGGAAGTCCCAAACCATAAAGGTAGACAGGAAGTGCTCAGATGATGAGGTCCGACAGTGTGCCCAACAGGTCCTCCGTGTGAATCTCTCTCCCAGAGTCTGGCTCCAGCCATTGCTACCATTTTGATTCCATACTCAACATCCTGAGTCCTTGAAGCAGTACTTGGAGAGACAGTCGAGCTGTGTCTATGGCCAGCAGCAGCGTGCAGTGCTCACGGACTCTGCAGCTTCCCGGACTCCGGGTACCTCCGGGACCTCTGTGGTCACCAACATTCTTTCAGAAACTGAGAGTTTGGGTGGGGTGGGTTGTGGTAGGGGTGTTTTCATGGCTCAATGCACTGTGACTTGTTCTTCAAATTGTATGTCCACCATTCATCTATCATGTTTTCTACCTTCCGGTCTCCCTGCTCACCCTCCATGGTCTTATTTATCGATTTATTTTGGTGTAGGAGCTAGTGGCAAGAGGCTATCAGAAGTCTAGGAGCAAGCTTGGAGAGAGTGCTCTGGTAGCTTGAAGCAGGTTGTTAATTTAAATGACAGGGTGACATTAGAGGAATGATGCTCTCGGGCTTCTGGAGAGATGTGGGGAAATTCAGGTGCTGGTTTCTGTGAATGTATTTAGAGAGATCCTGAGGGGAGGGGCAGAGCCACTATGAGATAAGACACCTCTCCTTGAGTGTCCCAGTTTTGAACCAGTTGGGCCCCATTCAAAATTGTTTGCAGCTCAGTGGGAAATCCAGCACCAAGCAGGTTTTTAGGTCAGGGAAAGAAGTCTTTGTGGTACTGCTCTCTAGAGGCCAAGCTTTAAGGTTTTGCCTGGGGGAGAGCACAGGCTTGAAGTGCCGCTTTTCTGCTGAAAGTGACTAGCCTCAATTTTCCCAGTTGGTGACAAGAGGCCAAGCTTTGAATCTGGACCACAAAACTTTGCTTACTGTCCAGAGAATTTTCTCTGTGATAACTGGTGATAGAACCAGGGAGGCCTCTACCCATACCTCAGCAGTGCTTTCTGACTGGTTTCTACAAGCTCCATCTTACTGTGGGATCCAACCTCACCATGTCTCCTAACATGACTTGCTTTGGAGAAGCTGGGTCCTCAGTGGAAGCAGCTACTAGAACGTATTGCTGAGATAGAGAACATGTAATCCTTGTACTTGGGAATTTGAGTATGAGTTTGAGGTCAGTATCAGCTACATAGTGAGACCCTGTCTGCCTGTCTTTTGTTTGTTTTTTTGAGACAGGGTTTCTCTGTGTAGCCCTGGCTGTCCATCTCCAGGGATCGCACAGCCTCTAACGGCTTCCCTGATCACAGGCAGAGGAACACATACATACAAATAAATCTTTAAAAAAAAAAACAAAACAAAAAGACTAATGCACAAGTTGATTAAGCATCAGTTCTGTGAGAAAAGGTGGTGGTAAGCATCTTGAACTTCAGTGATGTTGATAAGCAAAAGAATCATCTGAAATACCTTAAATAAAAACTTACTGGCCAGGCTGGAGAGATGGCTCAGGGGCGAGGCTAAGAGCACTGGTTGCTCTAACACAGGACCTGGGTTCAATTCCCAGGGCCTACGTGGTAGCTTACAGCTGGCTGTAACTCCAGTCCTAGAGGATTGACACCCTTGTCTGGCATCACTGGGCATTAGACAGATCTGTGGTACATGCATGCAGGTAAAACACCTCTGTAGCCAGACTTTGGCTAGTTTGTGGGTTCTTTTTTTTCTTCCACCCTTTTAACATCCTAACACTAGATAAGAGAAAAAGGATAGAAGGGAAAGGGGGCGAAGTTATCATTAGATTACTTCTTGCTGATTAGGGGCGTTGAGTTCTTTGGGAGAAGTTTGATCTTTGCCATCAGGATATCTAATTTCTTCTTTGTGCAGGGCTACTTAGCAAACCTCGGCCAACAACCACCTTTGGGGACTAGTATTTATATACCCTCTGAAAAGTCTCCAGAATTCCAAACATTACACCATTGCAGAAACTTCCCGAAGCTGGCAAAATCATGCCCCTGCTAGAGCATGAGGCAAATCATAGCTGCTGTGAATGACCTGAAGCAGCCCCATATCCCATACCTGGGATTAAAACGAAAGCATATTCTTACATTTCTGTGGGGTTTTTTTGGTTTGGTTTGGTTTGGTTTTGGTTTTGGTTTTGGTTTTGGTTTGTTTTGTTGGTTTTTGAGACAGGGTTTCTCTGTGTAGTCCTGGCTGTCCTGGAACTCACTCTGTAGACCAGGCTGGCCTTGAACTCAGAAATCCACCTGCCTCTGCCTCCCAAGTGCTGGGATTAAAAGGCGTGCACCACTACTGCCCGTCTTCTGTGTTTTTTTTAAGGCAAAATACTACATACTTACACACATATAAATGAATAAGAAGATAAATTTATTGGCTTTACAACAAGAATACTAACAATAGACTGGGCTGGGAGATGGCTTAGGTAAATTTCTTTCCATGCAAGCATGAAGAGGTACATCCAGATTTCCAGAACTCAGAGAAATGCCAGGTACACGTGTCTAGCCGCAGCTCTGACTCAGCCAGGTGGAAGCAGGGCCCAGGACACACTGACCAGCCATTCTAGCCAAAACAACAAATCTACCGTCAATGAAAACTCTGGAAATCTATGAGGGGGGCTGGAGAGATGGCTCAGTGCTCTAACACACAAATATAGGTCCAGAATTTGGTTCCCAGCGCTCACATTAGGTGTCTCCCAACAACATGTAACCCAGCTCCAGGGCATCTGATTCCCTCTTCTGTTCTCCATGGGCACCCACATTAAATTGGGGTTTTTTTTTTTGGTTTGGTTTTTTGAGACAGGGTTTCTCTGTATAGCCCTGGCTGTCCTGGAACTCCCTCTGTAGACCAGGCTGGCCTTGAACTCAGAAATCCGCCTGCCTTTGCCTCCCAAGTGCTGGGTTTAAAAGGCGTGTGCTACCACCGTCCAGCCACATTAAACCTTTTTTAACCTCATCTCCTTTGCTGGATATGGTGGCATACACCTTTAATCCCAGCACTCAGGAGACTAGAGACTGGTGGGTCTTTATCAGTTCAAGGCTAACCTGGTCTACTTAGTGAGTTCCAAGATACCCAGGGCTACACTCTTTAGAGTGTTGGATGGATGTGTACACACACACACACACACACACACACGCACACATGCATGCACGCACACGCGCCTCTGTTTCTCTCTTTGAGACAGTTTCACTATGTAGCTTTGAAGGAGCTGGTGCTTGCTATGTAGACCAGGATAACATTGATTTCCTGAGATTGCTTGCCTCAGCCTCCCAAGTGCTGAGATTAAAGGCATGCACCACTATGTCCAAAATAACTTTTAAAAAACATGAGATTGGGAACTAGAGAGATGACTTTGTTGTTAACAGCATTTGCTACTGTTGCAAAGGACCAGGGTTAGGTTCTCAGCAACCACAGGGTAAATCCAGTTCCAGCAGTTCTGATGCCTCCCTCTGGTCCCCAAGGGCAGTGCATGTATATGGTATATACTATATATGCAAGCAAAACATTCATAAAATAAAAAAGACTTTTAAAAAATAAGATGTGTAAAAAAAATTAAAAAATAAAAAAAAAATAAGATGGGTAAGCAATTGAAGAAGACATCCCATCATCATCTGGCCTTCATATATGCACCTGCATGGACAAGATTGCCTGTATGTCATGTACATGCATGCAGGCACGAATACACAAAACCAAGTCAAAAAAGAGAGGAGGGAGAAGGGAAGCTTGCATGTAATCCCAGAACTAGTGAGGCTCAAGCAATAGGATCTCAAGTTTGAGACCAGTTTAGGCTATACAACACTGTCTCAGAAAAGAAAAACAGTCAATGAAAGGGGCCTGAGTATCCTTGGGACCAAATGGTCATGATATCCTCAACCCACCTTGTGCCCTTCCCCACATCAAGGAGGCAGTGGTTCTGCTCAGACCCTTCTGCTTTCCACCGGAAACAATTTACGCTGAAGACATTGAGGGTTTGGAGAATGAAGGGAGTACAACTGCCTAAAGACCACCATCCTTTTGGATTCTCTGAAGTTCTTTGTGCTGTGCCCTACCTCTTGTGGAAACATAGATCATAGCAGGACAGGACTTTTGCAGTGAGGCTGTCAGGGAGGCAGGAAAGCACAGGTCTAGGATGGTATCCGTGGAGAAGGTAGGAAGAATTGGACGTAGAAAGGGTGGGAGTTGAGACTAGGGCAGGGGTCAGAGTTCACAAGACCAGGAGACATGAACCACAGGAAAGATTTGCACAAGGAAGTGAGAACCAAATGGATTGTTTAGAAGGAAGGAAAGCCTAGTGGAGGCTGCTTAAAATGTGAGAGCCTGCATTGTCTGGGATAAACTCGCACCTTTGGAGAGAGAGGAACTGAAGATTAAGGAGATATTGGGAAGCAGAGATGGGGTATGAAGTAGCTCTGAGGGCCCAGAGGAGGACGGGAGCAGGTGACAGTGAATGAGGCTGAGCTACCTGGTGCCACTGGCTGTTCTCTGCCCTCCTGTCTGTCACTGATAAAAGTGACACTTGAGCTGAAGTGTTAGATGCTGAGGCCACAGAACATTTGCAGGAATTCCGAGCAGGCTGCATGGGAGTACTGAAGAAAGGCTTACCAACACTGCGTCTGAGACCTGATCCTGGGGGCCGCCCATACAGTTCCCTGACCACTAAATGTGTCCTGAGTGGGCAGTGCCCCAATTGTCCCCTGAATCAATGTGTGCCTTTTGAACTACCATCTGCAACGGGAAGTTCAAGGCGTGTAAGTTTGAGGTTGAGGACCAGTCATCTCCTTTATCTGAATGATTTAATTGCCCTGTAACTCCACCCAGGGTAGCAATGTGTTTCGTAGCAATTTTCTCTTAAGATAAAACCATCCATTTAGCAGAGAAGTGTCTTAAGACACTGGCTGTTCTGAATTTTACAATCTAAAGAGGGGAGGAAACAGTCCATCCTTCAGGGAGGCTCCTTAAGACACAGGGTGTTCTAAATGGAAGTGCAATAACCCATCCTTCAGGGAGGCTCCTTAAGATGCAAGATATTCTAGGGAGGTGAAAAATTCCATTCTGCAGGGAAGCTCCTTAAGCTCAGGAATTCAGGAAGTCCTTGAAACTGATGGAATTCACTAGATCCCTCCCTCCCTAAGCATATATAAGTAGTAAGGGCTGACTGCCTAGAGACAGACTCTCTCAGGCAAGCTGATCAGCTAGGCTCAGACTAGCTAGGCTGTCTCAAGCAAACAGACCTGCCAAGCCAACCAGAGGAAGCCGAGATAAAACAAGCCGCCTGGAAGAGGCTCATACCAACTGATTCTCCAGCCAGTCAAGCTGCCTGCAGGCCGTAGAGTGTGCTCCAGGTTTCCAGACTTCATGATTGTCACCCATGCTGAGACAGGCTTTGGTGATGCAGCTGTCTTTAGGTTATTTCTGTTCCTGTAGGAACCCCCAATAAAACTCACTAGTTCACCATGTTGGATTTTAGTGGTGTCTGTACTGTTCTGTTCCCAGTGCATTGCCTCAAGTGAGTAGACTTTTTGTTAATGTCTTTCCAGGAATAGTGTCACACAGAAAGAACAGATTATTTAAAGGTAGCTGTAGAGAGACAGTATGAGGGCTAAAATTGTGTTTTAAGTTTTAAATTACTGTGTTTAAAGGGGCTGGGGAGATGGCTCAGTGGTTAAGAACACTGACTGCTCTTCCAGAGGTCCTGAGTTCAATTCCCAGCAACCATATGGTGGCTCACAGTCATCTGTAATGTTTGAAGACCACTACAAATCTATGTAAATCTTTTCTTTTTTTTTTTCGAGACAGGGTTTCTCTATGTAGTCCTGGCTGTCCTGGAACTCACTCTGTAGACCAGGCTGGCCTCGAACTCAGAAATCCTCCTGCCTCTGCCTCCCAGGTGCTGGGATTAAAAGCTGTGCACCACCACCCGGCCAAATCTCTTTTTTTAAAGATTTATTTATTTTATGTATGTAAGTACACACACACACTATCTTCACACACACCAGAAGAGGGCATCGGATCCCATTAAAGATGGAGCAGGAGGGAGAGGGGAAGGGGATGGGGAGAGTCTTTTTTGTCTGAGGATGCATGTGCCCAGCCATATGTAGAGCATTATTGTGTGGAGAAACTGTTATGAGTGGGTCAGGACTGTCGCAGGATAGATTGTTGTCTACATGGGGAGCACCCAGACCCTTTTATTTACTGAAAACTGTTTCTAGTTGCGGTGTGGCTCAGCCCTTAGTATAGACTTTAACCCCTCTGGTTGGAATGCAGACATGCCCTTAGCACACACCTTTCATCCCAAACAATGAAGGTAAAGTTAGCTTGTATAAGGAAGCACCCATGTTTGAAAGTGATGTCTAATTGAGTGGCAGATAAAGTGATGAATAGAGAAAGATTTGACAGAATAAGATATACCCA